GTGTCAGTTTGAGAGGACGAATGAGTTATTTCAAGGCGTATGAGTTTGAGAGGACGAATGAGTTATTTCAAGGCGTGTCGGTTTGAGAGGACGAATGAGTTATTTCAAGGCGTGTCAGTTTGAGAGGACGAATGAGTTATTTCAAGGCGTGTCAGTTTGAGAGGACGAATGAGTTATTTCAAGGCGTGTCAGTTTGAGAGGACGAATGAGTTATTTCAAGGCGTGTCGGTTTGAGAGGACGAATGAGTTATTTCAAGGCGTGTCAGTTTGAGAGGACGAATGAGTTATTTCAAGGCGTGTCAGTTTGACAGGACAAATGAGTTATTTCAAGGCGTGTCAGTTTGAGAGGACAAATGAGTTATTTCAAGGCGTGTCAGTTTGAGAGGACAAATGAGTTATTTCAAAGCGTGTCAGTTTGAGAGGACGAATGAGTTATTTCAAGGCGTGTCAGTTTGAGAGGACAAATGAGTTATTTCAAGGCGTGTCAGTTTGAGAGGACAAATGAGTTATTTCAAAGCGTGTCAGTTTGAGAGGACGAATGAGTTATTTCAAGGCGTGTCAGTTTGAGAGGACAAATGAGTTATTTCAAGGCGTGTCAGTTTGAGAGGACAAATGAGTTATTTCAAGGCGTGTCAGTTTGAGAGGACGAATGAGTTATTTCAAGGCGTGTCAGTTTGAGAGGACGAATGAGTTATTTCAAGGCGTGTCAGTTTGAGAGGACAAATGAGTTATTTCAAGGCGTGTCAGTTTGAGAGGACGAATGAGTTATTTCAAGGCGTGTCAGTTTGAGAGGACAAATGAGTTATTTCAAGGCGTGTCAGTTTGAGAGGACAAATGAGTTATTTCAAAGCGTGTCAGTTTGAGAGGACGAATGAGTTATTTCAAGGCGTGTCAGTTTGAGAGGACAAATGAGTTATTTCAAAGCGTGTCAGTTTGAGAGGACGAATGAGTTATTTCAAGGCGTGTCAGTTTGAGAGGACGAATGAGTTATTTCAAAGCGTGTCAGTTTGAGAGGACAAATGAGTTATTTCAAGGCGTATCAGTTTGAGAGGACAAATGAGTTATTTCAAGGCGTGTCAGTTTGAGAGGACAAATGAGTTATTTCAAGGCGTATCAGTTTGAGAGGACAAATGAGTTATTTCAAGGCGTGTCAGTTTGAGAGGACGAATGAGTTATTTCAAGGCGTGTCAGTTTGACAGGACAAATGAGTTATTTCAAGGCGTGTCAGTTTGAGAGGACGAATGAGTTATTTCAAGGCGTGTCAGTTTGAGAGGACGAATGAGTTATTTCAAAGCGTGTCAGTTTGAGAGGACAAATGAGTTATTTCAAGGCGTGTCAGTTTGAGAGGACAAATGAGTTATTTCAAGGCGTATCAGTTTGAGAGGACAAATGAGTTATTTCAAAGCGTGTCAGTTTGAGAGGACAAATGAGTTATTTCAAGGCGTGTCAGTTTGACAGGACAAATGAGTTATTTCAAGGCGTGTCAGTTTGAGAGGACAAATGAGTTATTTCAAGGCGTATCAGTTTGAGAGGACGAATGAGTTATTTCAAGGCGTGTCGGTTTGAGAGGACGAATGAGTTATTTCAAGGCGTGTCAGTTTGAGAGGACGAATGAGTTATTTCAAGGCGTGTCAGTTTGAGAGGACAAATGAGTTATTTCAAGGCGTGTCAGTTTGACAGGACGAATGAGTTATTTCACGGCGTGTCAGTTTGAGAGGACGAATGAGTTATTTCAAGGCGTGTCAGTTTGAGAGGACGAATGAGTTATTTCAAGGCGTGTCAGTTTGAGAGGACAAATGAGTTATTTCAAGGCGTGTCAGTTTGACAGGACGAATGAGTTATTTCAAGGCGTGTCAGTTTGAGAGGACGAATGAGTTATTTCAAGGCGTGTCAGTTTGAGAGGACGAATGAGTTATTTCAAGGAGCGTCAGTTTGAGAGGACAAATGAGTTATTTCAAGGCGTGTCAGTTTGACAGGACGAATGAGTTATTTCAAGGCGTGTCAGTTTGAGAGGACGAATGAGTTATTTCAAGGCGTGTCAGTTTGAGAGGACAAATGAGTTATTTCAAGGCGTGTCAGTTTGAGAGGACAAATGAGTTATTTCAAGGCGTGTCAGTTTGAGAGGACGAATGAGTTATTTCAAGGCGTGTCAGTTTGAGAGGACAAATGAGTTATTTCAAGGCGTGTCAGTTTGAGAGGACAAATGAGTTATTTCAAGGCGTGTCAGTTTGAGAGGACGAATGAGTTATTTCAAGGCGTGTCAGTTTGACAGGACGAATGAGTTATTTCAAGGCGTGTCAGTTTGAGAGGACAAATGAGTTATTTCAAGGCGTGTCAGTTTGAGAGGACGAATGAGTTATTTCACGGCGTGTCAGTTTGACAGGACAAATGAGTTATTTCAAGGCGTGTCAGTTTGAGAGGACGAATGAGTTATTTCAAGGCGTGTCAGTTTGAGAGGACGAATGAGGAGGTCAAATGCACGCAGCTTCAGAATCTGCGAAGAAGGACACCAAAAGCACCCTCGATTATCCAGTGTTTGATATGACATTTCTATATTGCTATATGTCATTGATCCATTCTTCGCCATGGTTTCAGTTTGAAGGTGAAGACCTCCTTACCTTCCCCGCCCCTAGCTCCAACATTGCACACAATACCCCGACCTGGAGAGTTGAATCATTGAAGGATTGGTTCTTAGCGTCGTACGCGTGTTGTAGCGAAAGGGTCCAGGAGATGTATCACAACACAATTTAATACATCAGATAATCTAGGATGACCATCTTCCCGAGGCAAGAGAGTTAACTGACTTTAAAAGTCCAGTTTCCACCCTTTCCCCAACTAGGCTGGAATTACTGGCCTCGATTGTTGCGCCACCAGTGGTTATTGTTAATTATGTCCCTTCTAAACCTCTCCTACTGACCAATCAGATTCCACCTCTCGTATCACGGGTCTCACGTTGCGAAATGCCTCAAATCACGTGTGCACCTTGATTAAAAACATGAGAAGATTTGGAGAATATATGACAACGAGTTGGTGGTGCACATGCTTTGCAAATCCTGCAATCGACCGAAATCTGTATGACAGTTTACGAACCGGGTTTCAATTTCGGAGCGCGATTTTGATTGAACTATGCATAGACTCGTTAGTCCAGCCAAAAAGTAACTCCATAATACCAGCCTAGTTCTGCAAGGGTGGAAACTGGACTTTTTTAGTCAGTTAACTTTCTTGCCTCTGGAAGATGGAGGATGACACAAAATATACACACGACTTCTCATATCAGTGGTAGCATGTAAACATGTAACCATCGCGCAGGTCACAAATCAGGCAAAGTTAAGCAGCGCTGGTGGCAGAGAGTAGGTGGATGGGTGGCCATGTTTAGCTGTCTAACTCCTCAGGGTTTCTACGGCTTCGGTCCTTCCGCCCTGAAGCACGTGGGAGCACGTGGTGTCTCCTTATCCAGGTGACTTTGTTCCGAAAAGGCCTCTGTTCACCCAGCAGTGAATGGGTACCCAATAGGATGTGATGTGACTGTAAAGCTTCTAGTGCCCTACAGGTAGCTTGGGATGTATCCTCCACAGGGAGCTGACTCCGTACGTCGCTATTCACCTTGTCCCAGATGCACGCTGTACGAGATATAACCGATCATGGTCATCTGACTGCCGATTCTTACATGGATGGTAATCACGTGATCAAAACTAAATGATGATGTTTATCTTTGACATGTTTGTCATATTTTAAATAATATTCCTTACCGGCGGAATGGCTTGTTTTCCTATTATAAGTATTAGAAATCATGGAGCCATCTTCGTGAGGTGATCATCGCGATATTTTGTGACTCTACTTCAAATGGCGAGGACGACATATCTCCTGTATTACAACCCACCATGGCGGACCTGTCAGAGCACGAGTTGACTTCAAGATCTCGCCAGTCACCAACCAGGGTACACCCGTGAAGATCAGGGGTAGAATAGGTCTTCAGCAACCCATGCGTGCAGTATACGGCGACTATGCTTGTTGTAAGAGGCGACTAACGGGATCGGGTTATCAGGCTCACTGACTTGGTTGATGCATGTCATCGCATCCCAATTGCATGGATCGATGGTCATGATATCAATCACTGGATTGTCTGGCCCAGACTCGATTATTTACAGACCGCCGTCATATAGCTGGAATATTGCTGGGTGCGACGTTAAACAACAAACAAACAAACAAACCTCCCATTGGATACACGGAGAAGCACCAGGTTACCACAAGACCTGTTCTTTCAATACACTCCAAGCAGACCACTTCCCTCAAGTCACAAAGCTTTAATTCTTGCATATTCCACAAATCCTATTGCCTCAGGTCCTTTCAAGTAGCCGTTGCTATGACGCGGAATAAGATACCTGATCACTTGAGAAGTAGCCCTGATCGAGCATACCTGCGTCATGACTGACAGCTGTAAATGGCTTGTATAAAGCATTAACATGTCTTATCCCTGCCCATCGTCGTGTGGCAGGAGTACAAAATAATACCTCTAACCGGTACCTTTTACTTGGAAGTTCAAACTGAAAGTAGGATTTCTTTCAAATCGTCCCCAGGTATGAGGTCCTAGTCCAGTGTGGGCAGCTCCCACACATCTCTCGTCCTGATGGGCACATGGATCTAGATTATGACATCCCTGTAGGTATAGGTGAAAACCGCGATACAGATATCTTGTGAGCGTTATTCGTCTATTTGGCTGGGATCGGGGGATACTGAATTACGAGTGTAAGTTGTTAAGAGACAGAATGTTACTAAAGGGCGTTGGGTGACTTACTGTTGCCCTGGCATGTTTGGGGTAGAATGCATGTGTTTGATCCTGATCTTAGGAACAGCATGTCGTTAATGGTCGGCCTGTTTGGCACAGAATCACACAATGCTTCATAATGAATTTCAATGCATGACTAGAGCTGCCCCAGAACAGACATAAAAACATACAAAGAAACTTCCAAACTTTAAGGGTACTTATGTTTATTTTTAAGTTTATAGATATTTGCCATCTGGATGCGAATGCTGCTACTGATCCCCCCACCGTCAAAAACTCAAAATGGACCGATCTCTGACAGCTGATGAGGATCTGTGGACATTTTGGACTTCTGGGGTACGTGAATATGACCGCCCAAGGCTGGGCGTGGCTGCTTGTGTTTTGGGAAACAGAACATGGAAGGTGTTCTATTCTCAGAAGATGTCAAGCACCTGGTGCAAACATGCTGAATATTTTTTAATAAAGGAATTGGAAGAACGTTTAAAAAACAGACATTTCTTGCGCATGTTTGAGTTGGGCAGTTCTTTCAAAGTAACAATTTATCAGAATTACAGCCCGTGTGGAAAGTGTGCAGAACTTTATTGTGGTCTCGTCGATACCTTTAAGCGGCACGGACTTAATGTGACATTGAATATTTATTTTGCGGCTTTGTACAAGATTTGTTGGGACATTAATCGCCCTCACGACGTTGGTAACTTCCTCAATGTCAGCGATCACAACGACAACGTTGCAGGGTTGGTGAAGCTGGTGGAGAAGAGAACGAACCTGAGATCATTTAAAATAAACACCTGGTTAGAACTACTCGACGTCCTCGACGAATTGGAGCCATTGATCTACCCGGCTGAGTTTGTTAAGAAATATGCACGTTCCCGGTTGTGGGTCCTCAGGAACTATTCTCAGAGAAGATGTTCTGCGGATACAAAAATAGAACAGACCTTTCACAGAATAGTTGGTACGTACAATAGTTTTATTATTTACTTTGACGCGGTCAAAATACATCATCAGCTTGTAACGATATCCTCAAATGAGGATCAGGCGGTCACAATGTCTGACCTGATGCTGTGGATCGTTGCACATGCTATTAATATTGGTTTGCCAGCAGAAGTTTCCGAGCCTGGCCACATGAAGCAATTAGTTACTCTTACAAGTATCGGTTACTGAAGATATATACTCACCACCAAATGAAACGCGAGCCATAGAAACATATAGAGAAGTATGTACGTCAAGAAGAGATGTTTCCAAAGTGTATCACTTTATGACAAAACTAACGATCAGTCAAATGTTACCAGAGTGTTTTTATTCTTTTCACGGTATGTTGCACGTGCTGTCCAAACTTTACACGCTGGTTCTGCACGAGACAAATGGTGCATCACGAGTCACAGATCTATGACGTCACATGTGATGCGTTCATGAGCGTCGGTTCACACAGCATAACAGTTTGTTCGTTTGTGCATCGAACCAATCTAATATCTGTGGAATATGAGTGATTCTTCATATTAATATAAACCAACATGTTGGGTATTTGCATTTTATTTGGCGGTGACAGACCGGTCGGCTTCGTACCCAGCTCTCAATTCACCGACCACCTTGGCTGCTCTCTGTAGTCACGCCCCAGTGTGAAAAGCTCATCTATATGTACTTTGTAAGCCGTTTACTTTTCCTTGATAAACCCGAAATCATCCGTCCCAAGGACCTTGCCTTGATGTGTGAGGAACAAGAGAGACGTGTTGTAACTACCCACCATGTCTCGAGACAAGGGCAAGGACCGAGGTTGTGTCTCAGTAGACAGTGATATCTTTTACGTAACACAATAGCCTGTGCCGTCACGCCGCTGTATTTTCAATAGAGATCCGCGGTATTTGTCTGCTTTTAAAAATATCCTTGTTCAAACATTTGAAGTCCGCTGATAACCCATGATCTGTCTGATATAGACCATGTTTTGACGACGGTCGTGCACTGGAGAAATGTTTATGGTCGGTTGGGATTAAACTGAAGGGTTTTACCGGGGACACAAGGGAGGAACTTATCGGCAGGGTCAGCGTGTCACTGAATGAGGTGAGGTGGAATGGAGCCTAACGTCGCGTTCAAGATAAGTGCATTTATAGAGCGATGTGCATGCACGTATGTGTATGTGTGTGGATGATTGCATTAATACCGATATTATAGTGCACGCCGCCTTTAGCAATATCACTGCGGAGGAGAAATCGGCTTCACCTTTTGTACCCATGTGGAGAATCGAACCCGGGACTTCGCTTTAAGAAACCCTTGATCCACTAGGCTATCCCACCGTCCTCTTCTGGATGAAGACTTTCGTGCACTCTGTGTGTATGAACGCTTTCTGAAAAAAAGTCTGGGTATCAGGCCCTTTTGTCATCTTGAAGTCCCCCCGAGTGTTTCATAGGATTCAGAATTAACATCAAGCAAATGATTTATTGTATTGTCAGATCTACAGTAACACCGCATCACGTGTTTTCGTCTTATTGCTTTTCAGAACCTACAAAAAACATCATGCAAGAAGAAGCCAGACAACGTCAACGCCAGGAGACAAGTCCCAACCCCCATTATGTTCCAGATGGAGGGATACACAATAACCGTTATCAGGCTTTACCCGGGCACCTTGTTGAAGACTATCAGTGTTGGCCAACGTCTTACCCTCCACACGGAGTTCAGTACAATGGCAGAGAAATCCCACCACACGGGCCCTTCTTTCAGTTCCACGGTAGAGACAACCAACAACGTGGCCCCCAGGATCACTACATTGGTAGAAACATCCCCCCACACGGGCCCTTCTTTCAGTTCCACTGTAGAGACAACCAACAACGTGGCCCCCAGGATCACTACACTGGTAGAGACAGACCCCCACACGGGCCCTTCTTTCAGTTCAATGGTAGACACAACCAGCCACAAGGCCTCCAAGCTGGGTTCCGATGGTAAAGACAACCAAGCACAAGGACCACCACGTTGGCTCCGTGGTATACATCTGTAGCCACAAGGCCCCCTGACTCCGTGGTATACATCTGTAGCCACAAGGCCCCCTGACTCCGTGGTATACATCTGTAGCCACAAGGCCCCCTGGCTCCGTGGTATACATCTGTAGCCACAAGGCCCCTGGCTCCGTGGTATACATCTGTAGCCACAAGGCCCCCTCGCTCCGTGGTATACATCTGTAGCCACAAGGCCCCCTGGCTCCGTGGTATACATCTGTAGCCACAAGGCCCCCTGGCTCCGTGGTATACATCTGTAGCCACAAGGCCCCCTGACTCCGTGGTATACATCTGTAGCCACAAGGCCCCCTGGCTCCGTGGTATACATCTGTAGCCACAAGGCTCCTGGCTCCGTGGTATACATCTGTAGCCACAAGGCCCCTGGCTCCGTGGTATACATCTGTAGCCACAAGGCCCCTGGCTCCGTGGTATACATCTGTAGCCACAAGGCCCCCTGGCTCCGTGGTATATATCTGTAGCCACAAGGCCCCCTGGCTCCGTGGTATACATCTGTAGCCACAAGGCCCCCTGGCTCCGTGGTATATATCTGTAGCCACAGGGCCCCTCGCTCCGTGGTATATATCTGTAGCCACAAGGCCCCCTGGCTCCGTGGTGTACATCTGTAGCCACAAGGCCCCCTGGCTCCGTGGTATATATCTGTAGCCACAGGGCCCCTCGCTCCGTGGTATATATCTGTAGCCACAAGGCCCCCTGACTCCGTGGTATACATCTGTAGCCACAAGGCCCCCTGGCTCCGTGGTATATATCTGTAGCCACAGGGCCCCTCGCTCCGTGGTATATATCTGTAGCCACAAGGCCCCCTGGCTCCGTGGTGTACATCTGTAGCCACAAGGCCCCCTGGCTCCGTGGTATACATCTGTAGCCACAAGGCCCCCTGGCTCCGTGGTATACATCTGTAGCCACAAGGCCCCTCGCTCCGTGGTATATATCTGTAGCCACAAGGCCCCCTGACTCCGTGGTATACATCTGTAGCCACAAGGCCCCCTGGCTCCGTGGTATACATCTGTAGCCACAAGGCCCCCTGGCTCCGTGGTATATATCTGTAGCCACAGGGCCCCTCGCTCCGTGGTATATATCTGTAGCCACAAGGCCCCCTGGCTCCGTGGTGTACATCTGTAGCCACAAGGCCCCCTGGCTCCGTGGTATACATCTGTAGCCACAAGGCCCCCTGGCTCCGTGGTATACATCTGTAGCCACAAGGCCCCCTGGCTCCGTGGTATACATCTGTAGCCACAAGGCCCCCTGGCTCCGTGGTATACATCTGTAGCCACAAGGCCCCCTGGCTCCGTGGTATACATCTGTAGCCACAAGGCCCCTGGCTCCGTGGTATACATCTGTAGCCACAAGGCCCCCTGGCTCCGTGGTATACATCTGTAGCCACAAGGTCCCCTGGCTCCGTGGTGTACATCTGTAGCCACAAGGCCCCTGGCTCCGTGATATACATCTGTAGCCACAAGGCCCCTCGCTCCGTGGTATATATCTGTAGCCACAAGGCCCCCTGGCTCCGTGGTATATATCTGTAGCCACAAGGCCCCCTGGCTCCGTGGTATACATCTGTAGTGACAAGGCCCCTGGCTCCGTGGTATACATCTGTAGCCACAAGGCCCCCTGACTCCGTGGTATACATCTGTAGCCACAAGGCCCCCTGGCTCCGTGGTGTACATCTGTAGCCACAAGGCCCCCTGGCTCCGTGGTATATATCTGTAGCCACAGGGCCCCTCGCTCCGTGGTATACATCTGTAGCCACAAGGTCCCCTCGCTCCGTGGTATACATCTGTAGCCACAAGGCCCCCTGGCTCCGTGGTATACATCTGTAGCCACAAGGCCCCCTGACTCCGTGGTATACATCTGTAGCCACAAGGCCCCCTGGCTCCGTGGTATACATCTGTAGCCACAAGGCCCCTGGCTCCGTGGTATACATCTGTAGCCACAAGGCCCCTGGCTCCGTGGAATACATCTGTAGCCACAAGGCCCCCTGGCTCCGTGGTATACATCTGTAGCCACAAGGTCCCCTCGCTCCGTGGTATACATCTGTAGACACAAGGCCCCCTGGCTCCGTGGTATACATCTGTAGCCACAAGGCCCCCTGGCTCCGTGGTATATATATCTGTAGCCACAAGGCCCCTCGCTCCGTGGTATATATCTGTAGCCACAAGGCCCCCTGGCTCCGTGGTATACATCTGTAGCCACAGGGCCCCTCGCTCCGTGGTATATATCTGTAGCCACAAGGCCCCTCGCTCCGTGGTATATATCTGTAGCCACAAGGCCCCCTGGCTCCGTGGTATATATCTGTAGCCACAAGGCCCCTCGCTCCGTGGTATATATCTGTAGCCACAAGGCCCCTCGCTCCGTGGTATATATCTGTAGCCACAAGGCCCCCTGGCTCCGTGGTATACATCTGTAGCCACAAGGCCCCCTGGCTCCGTGGTATACATCTGTAGCCACAAGGCCCCCTGGCTCCGTGGTATACATCTGTAGCCACAAGGCCCCCTGGCTCCGTGGTATACATCTGTAGCCACAAGGCCCCCTGGCTCCGTGGTATACATCTGTAGCCACAAGGCCCACTGGCTCCTTGGTATATATCTGTAGCCACAAGGCCCCTCGCTCCGTGGTATATATCTGTAGCCACAAGGCCCCTCGCTCCGTGGTATACATCTGTAGCCACAAGGCCCACTGGCTCCTTGGTATATATCTGTAGCCACAAGGCCCACTGGCTCCTTGGTATATATCTGTAGCCACAAGGCCCCTCGCTCCGTGGTATATATCTGTAGCCACAAGGCCCACTGGCTCCTTGGTATACATCTGTAGCGACAAGGGCCCCTGACTCGTGGTATACATCTGTAGCCACAAGGCCCCTGACTCCGTGGTATACATCTGTAGCCACAAGGCCCCTGACTCCGTGGTATATATCTGTAGCCACAAGGCCCCCTGACTCCGTGGTATACATCTGTAGCCACAAGGCCCCCTGGCTCCGTGGTATACATCTGTAGCCACAAGGCCCCCTGGCTCCGTGGTATATATCTGTAGCCACAGGGCCCCTCGCTCCGTGGTATATATCTGTAGCCACAAGGCCCCCTGGCTCCGTGGTGTACATCTGTAGCCACAAGGCCCCCTGGCTCCGTGGTATACATCTGTAGCCACAAGGCCCCCTGGCTCCGTGGTATACATCTGTAGCCACAAGGCCCCTCGCTCCGTGGTATATATCTGTAGCCACAAGGCCCCCTGACTCCGTGGTATACATCTGTAGCCACAAGGCCCCCTGGCTCCGTGGTATACATCTGTAGCCACAAGGCCCCCTGGCTCCGTGGTATATATCTGTAGCCACAGGGCCCCTCGCTCCGTGGTATATATCTGTAGCCACAAGGCCCCCTGGCTCCGTGGTGTACATCTGTAGCCACAAGGCCCCCTGGCTCCGTGGTATACATCTGTAGCCACAAGGCCCCCTGGCTCCGTGGTATACATCTGTAGCCACAAGGCCCCCTGGCTCCGTGGTATATATCTGTAGCCACAGGGCCCCTCGCTCCGTGGTATATATCTGTAGCCACAAGGCCCCCTGGCTCCGTGGTATACATCTGTAGCCACAAGGCCCCCTGGCTCCGTGGTATACATCTGTAGCCACAAGGCCCCCTGGCTCCGTGGTATACATCTGTAGCCACAAGGCCCCTCGCTCCGTGGTATACATCTGTAGCCACAAGGCCCCCTGGCTCCGTGGTGTACATCTGTAGCCACAAGGCCCCCTGGCTCCGTGGTATACATCTGTAGCCACAAGGCCCCCTGGCTCCGTGGTATACATCTGTAGACACAAGGCCCCTGGCTCCGTGGTATACATCTGTAGCCACAAGGCCCCCTGGCTCCGTGGTATACATCTGTAGCCACAAGGTCCCCTGGCTCCGTGGTGTACATCTGTAGCCACAAGGCCCCTGGCTCCGTGGTATACATCTGTAGCCACAAGGCCCCCTGGCTCCGTGGTATACATCTGTAGCCACAAGGCCCCCTGGCTCCGTGGTATACATCTGTAGCCACAAGGCCCCTGGCTCCGTGGTATACATCTGTAGCCACAAGGTCCCCTGGCTCCGTGGTATACATCTGTAGCCACAAGGCCCCTGGCTCCGTGATATACATCTGTAGCCACAAGGCCCCTCGCTCCGTGGTATATATCTGTAGCCACAAGGCCCCCTGGCTCCGTGGTATATATCTGTAGCCACAAGGCCCCCTGGCTCCGTGGTATACATCTGTAGTGACAAGGCCCCTGGCTCCGTGGTATACATCTGTAGCCACAAGGCCCCCTGACTCCGTGGTATACATCTGTAGCCACAAGGCCCCCTGGCTCCGTGGTGTACATCTGTAGCCACAAGGCCCCCTGGCTCCGTGGTATATATCTGTAGCCACAGGGCCCCTCGCTCCGTGGTATACATCTGTAGCCACAAGGTCCCCTCGCTCCGTGGTATACATCTGTAGCCACAAGGCCCCCTGGCTCCGTGGTATACATCTGTAGCCACAAGGCCCCCTGGCTCCGTGGTATACATCTGTAGCCACAAGGCCCCCTGGCTCCGTGGTATACATCTGTAGCCACAAGGCCCCCTGACTCCGTGGTATACATCTGTAGCCACAAGGCCCCCTGGCTCCGTGGTATACATCTGTAGCCACAAGGCCCCTGGCTCCGTGGTATACATCTGTAGCCACAAGGCCCCTGGCTCCGTGGAATACATCTGTAGCCACAAGGCCCCCTGGCTCCGTGGTATACATCTGTAGCCACAAGGTCCCCTCGCTCCGTGGTATACATCTGTAGCCACAAGGCCCCCTGGCTCCGTGGTATACATCTGTAGCCACAAGGCCCCCTGGCTCCGTGGTATATATATCTGTAGCCACAAGGCCCCTCGCTCCGTGGTATATATCTGTAGCCACAAGGCCCCCTGGCTCCGTGGTATACATCTGTAGCCACAGGGCCCCTCGCTCCGTGGTATATATCTGTAGCCACAAGGCCCCTCGCTCCGTGGTATATATCTGTAGCCACAAGGCCCCCTGGCTCCGTGGTATATATCTGTAGCCACAAGGCCCCTCGCTCCGTGGTATATATCTGTAGCCACAAGGCCCCTCGCTCCGTGGTATATATCTGTAGCCACAAGGCCCCCTGGCTCCGTGGTATACATCTGTAGCCACAAGGCCCCCTGGCTCCGTGGTATACATCTGTAGCCACAAGGCCCCCTGGCTCCGTGGTATACATCTGTAGCCACAAGGCCCCCTGGCTCCGTGGTATACATCTGTAGCCACAAGGCCCCCTGGCTCCGTGGTATACATCTGTAGCCACAAGGCCCACTGGCTCCTTGGTATATATCTGTAGCCACAAGGCCCCTCGCTCCGTGGTATATATCTGTAGCCACAAGGCCCCTCGCTCCGTGGTATACATCTGTAGCCACAAGGCCCACTGGCTCCTTGGTATATATCTGTAGCCACAAGGCCCACTGGCTCCTTGGTATATATCTGTAGCCACAAGGCCCCTCGCTCCGTGGTATATATCTGTAGCCACAAGGCCCACTGGCTCCTTGGTATATATCTGTAGCCACAAGGCCCCTCGCTCCGTGGTATACATCTGTAGCCACAGGGCCCCTCGCTCCGTGGTATACATCTGTAGCGACAAGGCCCCCTGACTCCGTGGTATATATCTGTAGCCACAAGGCCCCTCGCTTCGTGGTATACATCTGTAGCCACAGGGCCCCTCGCTCCGTGGTATACATCTGTAGCGACAAGGCCCCCTGACTCCGTGGTATATATCTGTAGCCACAAGGCCCCTCGCTTCGTGGTATACATCTGTAGCCACAGGGCCCCTCGCTCCGTGGTATACATCTGTAGCGACAAGGCCCCCTGACTCCGTGGTATATATCTGTAGCCACAAGGCCCCTCGCTTCGTGGTATTCATCTGTAGGCACAAGGCCCTTTGCTCCGTGGTATATATCTGTAGCCACCGGCCCCCTCGCTCCGTGGTATATATCTGTAGCCACAAGGCCCCCTCGCTCCGTGGTATATATCTGTAGCCACAAGGCCCCCTCGCTCCGTGGTATACATCTGTAGCCACAGGGCCCCTCGCTCCGTGGTATACATCTGTAGCGACAAGGCCCCCTGACTCCGTGGTATATATCTGTAGCCACAAGGCCCCTCGCTTCGTGGTATACATCTGTAGCCACAGGGCCCCTCGCTCCGTGGTATACATCTGTAGCGACAAGGCCCCCTGACTCCGTGGTATATATCTGTAGCCACAAGGCCCCTCGCTTCGTGGTATTCATCTGTAGGCACAAGGCCCTTTGCTCCGTGGTATATATCTGTAGCCACAAGGCCCCCTCGCTCCGTGGTATATATCTGTAGCCACAAGGCCCCTCGCTTCGTGGTATTCATCTGTAGGCACAAGGCCCTTTGCTCCGTGGTATATATCTGTAGCCACAAGGCCCCCTCGCTCCTTGGTATATATCTGTAGCCACAAGGCCCCTCGCTTCGTGGTATTCATCTGTAGGCACAAGGCCCTTTGCTCCGTGGTATATATATGTAGCGACAAGGCCCCCTGACTCCGTGGTATACATCTGTAGCGAAAAGGCCCCTGACTCCGTTGTATACATCTGTAGCGACAAGGCCCCCTGACTCCGTGGTATACATCTGTAGTGACAAGGCCCATGACTCCGTGGTATACATCTGTAGCGACAAGGCCCCTGACTCCGTGGTATACATCTGTAGCGACAAGGCCCCTGACTCCGTGGTATATATATGTAGCGACAAGGCCCCCTGACTCCGTGGTATACATCTGTAGCCACAAGGCCCCCTGACTCCGTGGTATATATATGTAGCGACAAGGCCCATGACTCCGTGGTATACATCTGTAGCGACAAGGCCCCTGACTCCGTGGTATACATCTGTAGCGACAAGGCCCCTGACTCCGTGGTATATATATGTAGCGACAAGGCCCCCTGACTCCGTGGTATACATCTGTAGCCACAAGGCCCCCTGACTCCGTGGTATATATATGTAGCGACAAGGCCCCCTGACTCCGTGGTATACATCTGTAGCGACAAGGCCCCCTGACTCCGTGGTATATATATGTAGCGACAAGGCCCCCTGACTCCGTGGTATACATCTGTACCGACAAGGCCCCCTGACTCCGTGGTATATATATCGGTAGCGACAAGGCCCCCCTGACTCCGTGGTATATCTATGTAGCGACAAGGCCCCCTGACTCCGTGGTATGCATCTGTAGCCACAAGGCACCCTGACTCCGTGGTATACATCTGTAGCCACAAGGCCCCTGACTCCGTGGTATACATCTGTAGCCACAAGGCCCCTGGCTCCGTGGTATACATCTGTAGCGACAAGGGCCCCTCGCTCCGTGGTATACATCTGTAGCGACAAGGCCCCCTGACTCGTGGTATACATCTGTAGCCACAAGGCCCCTGACTCCGTGGTATACATCTGTAGCCACAAGGCCCCTGGCTCCGTGGTATACATCTGTAGCGACAAGGGCCCCTCGCTCCGTGGTATACATCTGTAGCGACAAGGGCCCCTGACTCGTGGTATACATCTGTAGCCACAAGGCCCCTGACTCCGTGGTATACATCTGTAGCCACAAGGCCCCTGACTCCGTGGTATACATCTGTAGCGACAAGGCCCCTGACTCCGTGGTATATATATGTAGCAACAAGGCCCCCTGACTCCGTGGTATATATATGTAGCGACAAGGCCCCTGACTCCGTGGTATACATCTGTAGCCACAAGGCCCCTGGCTCCGTGGTATACATCTGTAGCGACAAGGGCCCCTCGCTCCGTGGTATACATCTGTAGCGACAAGGGCCCCTGACTCCGTGGTATATTGTGTTGACCAATCGACACTAACAACTTCATGATAACTCATCATGGCGTTAATTAAGCCGTTTTGATTACTCGGGAGGAAATACTGCCCAGTGTTGCAATGCTGAATTTGAATTAAAACATTTACTCGAGTTGCATGTGATAAATACTTTGAAAGGTGACCCTCCCAGAAATTATAGAATGTGTTCAATCATAACTTCCACCTTCTCACTCACCCGCACGCACGCTACACGCACGCACGCACGCACGCATATACACACACACACCATGTAGGTCGCAAAGCAACAAGAAGATGCACGTCTGATTCACATTTTATTGTTCACAGAGTTGTAAAGTACATATCTGAAATTGCAATAGCAATAAAGATAAAAAATGTAATGGTTTTAATGCAAAGCGTCATATGTAAAACACACAAGGTTGCGACACATAATCATATTCACAAATAGCATGCATCATCACAGATTTGAGTGTCAGAAGATGAGATGAAATGTGAGTATTTTGTATTCATGTTATTTTCGTCATCCCCTTTTCTCTCACTTGAACAGATGTTTTTAAGTAGTATTTAAAAGTGTATCCACTGTCGATTTGGTTCCTTTGATTCCACACACATGGATATGTCACAGGATGAGGAATGGAAAGCAGTAGCAGATATGTGTCATATCTATTAATACCTCTGTAAGTTTCCAGGAACTTTTTTCACAATGTATGTCAGATCACAGAAGTCCATTACGGTGGCAGATAGGGAGGGCACAGCGTCCCAGGAGCCGTGGGGATGAACTCCTAATAAACCGGGAACAAGTAACACGCTAGTTTGTTATCTATTGTAAGTTAGAATCAGGTATATTCCTTGTTGTAGTCACCAATAGTCAAGCGATAATCACAGCGCCCTCTACCTGTAGGTGGTGTAAACATGATAAACGTCACTCACTCACTCACTCACTCACTCACAGAGAGCATCGTTGAAAGGGGGGATTCCCTCACATCACAAATACAAACATTTGCCCTTTCATTCTGGGTACATAATTGTTGACAAATCTCTTCATTGTAAATAGATATAAATAAGATATACAAACGACAAAACAAATGGTTACAGGAACCTAAAATGCATGTAAGAATCGGGCTGAAATCGGAGCTTTGGTAGCGAATGGATGCTGGGTATTTATCAGATTAGAACGGAGCTCTGATAAACCGGAGCATCAGTCAGAGGGATGGCGTTGTACAAATGCACTTCTTTTTCTGTACTTTTGTGTGACAAGGGCCGTGCTCACAAACACGTTTAACGAGGTCACAGTTTAGTTACAGATGGAGTCCAGCAAAACAAAGAACGGGCAACTTGATGTGATACCTATCAGGATGTTCTGGACGACTGGGTGTCCTATATTTCCCTGTCCATGGACGGATGTAGCTGGTGTACATGTCTAGGTTTTGTTGTTTCCTGACCAGCTTCAAACACTTGCTGGACCGACAAACAATGTCTATCCTTGACTGAGAATGTTAATGTGCTTTGAGGTTGGTATTTACGTAATGAATTTCATAGCAGAATGTCCGTTCCACGGGAAACACAGACGACTTCAAGTGGCAACCAGGATTCTTGTGGACATAAAACTTCCTGAATCCCAAGTCGTAGACATCTTTGAGCACCTTCAGCATCTGTATGCACGCGTCTCGATCCGTGCACTTTCCATGGTATTCTACAAGCAACTGTCGCACAGAGCGGAGGTCTCGAGAGGCCACCATTTCCGGCAGGGATCTCCATTCTGAGCTTTCAACGTCCATTTTAAGAACATCGATGGCATTCTGAAAAATAAATATTGCTTCAGTACTCAGTTAGGTTAAACGCAACATTGAACGTATTTCATCAAAATAACCAGACGTCACACTGTTACTGACAGCAACTACACACATGATCCTAGTGAACTGAAAACTGTTAACTGGAATGAATGAATAATGATCACGTCAACAGCAGCACTATTCTAGTTATATCACGGCGGCCTATAAATAATTCAGTCTGAGACAAACAAACGTCAGGACCCCAGGGATATCCTATATCGTCCGGGTACGAGCACACCCAATCCCCCAAGACATCGACTGACCACCCAATCCATCAAGACATCGACTGACCACCCAATCCATCAAGACATCGACTGACCACCAAATCCATCAAGACATCGACTGACCACCCAATCCATCAAGACATCGACTGACCACCCAATCCACCAAGACATCGACTGACCACCCAATCCATCAACTCATCGACTGACCACCCAATCCATCAACTCATCGACTGACCACCCAATTCATCAAGACATCGACTGACCACCCAATCCATCAAGACATCGACTGACCACCCAATCCACCAAGACATCGACTGACAACCCAATCCATCAAGACATCGACTGACCACCCAATCAATCAAGACATCGACTGACCACCCAATCCATCAAGACATCGACTCACGCCTGGGCGGAGCAGTTCTACCCAGAAATCACCGCGAGGATGATTGTAATTCCAGGCTGCCAATGCCAGCTTGTAGTTGGTACTGCTAAAGGCTTACATCTTCTCTGTAACGTTCCTACCTGATTATGATTGAGCATGGCCTTCACTCGGCCCAGGGTGTGCATCTCCCAGTTTCCGTTCACCGTGTTCTCCCCATCTATGCCTATGTTTAAGAAACGAACACGCGCTGATCTCTGGTAGCTGTTTTTCTTCATGCTGAAAAGATACCATATTAAAACACATGTAAAACGTCCACTTTACAGTTTAATAGATTTCAAGACAGTACCAGCGCGTACACAATGATGCGAGGCTGTCGGGGAGTTTTGACAGGGCACCTGCGAACGTTCCGCAAAACAGGATATGTTATTAATACGTAACTTTGCGAGGAAGAACCAAGCACCAAAAACAGCTGTGATACTGAACACACACACCCCCCCCCCCCCCCAAAACACTCATACACACACAAACACACACACACACACACGCCTCCTTTTTTGCTGTTAAGGAAGTGAGTAAATTAAGGTGGTCGCCTCTGTTTTCTGGTGTCGGCCTCAACCAAGACACACCTGCATGTATCCCACGTGCAGCGTTTGGTGGTGAGACACCAACCTCCGTGAAAGGGGGATTCGAACCAGTGACAAGCGGATCCTGCAACTCCTGACTAGCATCGTGATATTAGGATTACAAACTGGTACAAACCTTGGGTCAAACGAAAATACGTCACACTCGTAGTTTTTCGCCATGGCATCGTCGAAGGAATAATCATAGTTGATTCTGAAAATAAAATAAAAACACTTATGCGGACATATGTTTACGGCCTTGGTGTTTCACGTTAGAAACACGAGGTACTGGGGACACACTCTCCCCAAGAATCCCCACTTTGACCCAACACGAGGTACTGGGGACACACTCTCCCCAAGAATCCCCACTTTGACCCAACACGAGGTACTGGGGACACACTCTCCCCAAGAATCCCCACTTTGACCCAACATGAGGTACTGGGGACACACTCTCCCCAAGAATCCCCACTGTGACCCAACACGAGGTACTGGGGACACACTCTCCCCAAGAATCCCCACTTTGACCCAACATGAGGTACTGGGGACACACTCTCCCCAAGAATCCCCACTGTGACCCAACACGAGGTACTGGGGACACACTCTCCCCAAGAATCCCCACTTTGACCCAACATGAGGTACTGGGGACACACTCTCCCCAAGAATCCCCACTGTGACCCAACACGAGGTACTGGGGACACACTCTCCCCAAGAATCCCCACTTTGACCCAACATGAGGTACTGGGGACACACTCTCCCCAAGAATCCCCACTTTGACCCAACATGAGGTACTGGGGACACACTCTCCCCAAGAATCCCCACTTTGACCCAACATGAGGTACTGGGGACACACTCTCCTCAAGAATCCCCACTTTGACCCAACATGAGGTACTGGGGACACACTCTCCCCAAGAATCCCCACTTTGACCCAACATGAGGTACTGGGGACACACTCTCCCCAAGAATCCCCACTGTGACCCAACACGAGGTACTGGGAACACACTCTCCCCAAGAATCCCCACTTTGACCCAACACGAGGTACTGGGGACACACTCTCCTCAAGAATCCCCACTTTGACCCAACACGAGGTACTGGGGACACACTCTCCCCAAGAATCCCCACTGTGGCCTAACATGAGGTACTGGGGACACACTCTCCCCAAGAATCCCCACTTTGACCCAACACGAGGTACTGGGGACACACTCTCCCCAAGAATCCCCACTTTGACCCAACACGAGGTACTGGGGACACACTCTCCTCAAGAATCCCCACTTTGACCCAACACGAGGTACTGGGGACACACTCTCCCCAAGAATCCCCACTGTGGCCTAACATGAGGTACTGGGGACACACTCTCCCCAAGAATCCCAACTTTGACCCAACACGAGGTACTTGGGACACACTTTGTCCAAGAATCCCCACTGTGGCCTAACATGAGATACTGGGGACACACTCTCCCCAAGAATCCCCACTGTGGTCTAACACAGGGACATATTGAGAAACGTCATGTCTGTAATTTGGAGAACATACTCGCAACTGTTGGGTCGCCCCTGCCACCTGGCCCCTGCGACCACAGTTATTAGTTAGCTCTCCTTAACTAACGGTTGGCTGGTGACAAAACTAAATAGTTGCATATAGGAGTCACAGACTCACCCAAAGGAGTACACAATACAAGGCTTTACGGGACGATATTCTCTGTCATCACATATTTCCCAGCCTCCGTCTCCCAATCTTCCCATCCGCAGCTTCCGGGAGCACAATATGTCTACGTTGTCAAGGTAACTATGTGAAAAACAGAGAGATAAATGTTATATGCGTGTCCAAGATTGCATATACAAAACCAATTTTATTATATCTGGTATCGATAGTGTACAATATCACGTGGCGTGTTTGGGCACATCGCGTCATCATTCAACTTATGTCAGCATCACAGACAGATCACGACCCTCTGATGAGTCTTTAGTCATTCAGTATTTGTTTGAGAGATATTTAGATTTCCAAAACTTGATGAACTTATGAAACTTGTAAGTTCCAACAATACACAGTGAACCCTCGTTAGTCAAGACCTTGCTACTCCGAACGCCTTACTTTCAGGAGGCAATTTTTGAAGGGAACGAATTTAATATATACGGGACTTTCACTCCTCCCTGTAAACTGGAAATTCATTAACCTGCACAGTTTTACCAGAAAGGGTCCCGTCCGGTTTAACAAGGTGTCACTGTACACACGGGAACCTGGGTTCGGATCGCGGACCCACCCCAATTATGTTCCTTGGCGTCTCAGCATCATTCTCGGCATCACGTGCACCCTGGCGCCGCGTTACGTCCCCCAACATGAAGCTGACTATGCAATAACAAAGGCACTCAACGCACGCACTCCACAACATACACAGACACATACCTGTGGTAGGTCCGAAACACCGCGGCGGCTGACAACTTGTCTATAGCAGCTTTGTCCGGCAGGATAATCTAGAATCAATGTCATCAGTATCAGGTGTCGTCTTTCAGGTAAAGTGTGGGAAGAATTATCGAAATACATTGTAACCCCCGACAATGATCACACCTTCATTAGGAATCTACATGTGGGTTGAACTATATTTTATATGGAATATCTTAGGTTACAATGCCATACACTCTTCAAAAGAAAGAAACGCACAGGTAGTATGTCTGACTGACTGACTGACTGAGTATGGTTTTACGCCGCTTTTAGCAATATTCAACAATATCACGGCGAGGGACACCAGAAATGGGCTTCACACATTGTACCCATGTCGGGAATCGAACCCGGGTCTTCGGCGTGACGAGCGAACGCTTTAACCACTAGGCTACCCGACCGCCCCCACAGGTAGTATGTAGTTGATTGAGCCTGACTACACAAACAATCCGGTATATAGATTATGTATGTATTGTATATTATATATAACATGTTCTTGGAAAATGTTGGTGGCCTGATGTTCGACAAACGGTGCGTCAAAACGCAGCCATTGTCGATTTGCAATGTATTAAACGGCATTGTTTCCACACTTGTCAAGGAGGAAAACAGTAAAGCAAAATGCAAGTGCAAATAATGGCATTCGTTACTCGTGGTAGTGGCTATAAAAAGGCAAGCATTAGCCAATACTTTGTCATTCAGTTGTCAACGTTTTTCAAGAGTCAGCCCTACCGATCGTAACACCGCCATAGGACGTATCCAAAGAGGGGAATCGCAGTCTTCTGGTTCACGCCACTTCAACGTCCACCACAGCACCATATGCCACCTTTGTGACCGATACACACAGTTCGATTCCACTGCCGACCGTCCGAGATTTCTTCTTCACCGGCGAGATGGAAGACAGCGTGATTATCGTCGTCGAAATGAGCGTTTTGCCCCACATTGTATTCGTGACTTCGACAATTAAATTGTGGTTCAGGGAAATTTGACAGCAAATCGCTACATGAATCAAATTCTTCAACCTCACCTTATTCCAATCATTGACCGCCAGAGGGAGCAGTTGCAACAGGACAACATTCCACCGCACACAGCTCGTGTCACGGAAGATTACCTTCATAATGCCAACATCAACGTCTTGCCTTGGCTGTCGAGATCTCCAGACCTCAACCCAATCGAACACCTCTGGGATGAACTCGATCGACGTGTACGTCAACGTCAGAACACTCCCACAACTGGCCATTGCGTTACAAGCAGAATAGCACAGAATTCCGCAGGACAGAATTCGTACACTTCTCCAGTCAGTGCCGAGGAGATGCAGAATCGTCATTGCTGCCCGGGGCGGTCACACGAGATACAGCGCACTCTTGTGGCATTGCGTGACATGACAATGACAAGTTTTCAATGCCGTTATACAACGACAACATGTGACTATCGAGCTCTATATTTGTATCTATGGTATTAAATTAAATATATCGACTTTCTTAGGTACCATAAATTTACTTTAAAAAACTACACGTACGTTTCTTTTCTTTGAAGAGAGTATTACTGAAACGACCATATGCTATTTGGAAATAACAGAGAGCTATTCTATATCAATAGTAGACCCCTTCTGGTGTTTGGTTGTAGATGACAAGCACTTACCTGGCCTTGCCCCCGCAGTTCCTCGAGAGACGTCTTGTAGATGAAGTCATCACGATACTCTGTCATGTCCACCTTAAATAAACAAGTGCCATTCTTCACAATCATTCTACAACCTGTCCCTGTAAGACACTCGAAATCCACATTCCTATGTTTCCAAGCGGTGCTGTGGCATGGACTGCCCAGCTAATGAATCAGTAAGTAAGTAGTGATTTTCGCCGTATCAGCAATTTGGTGATCATTCAGCCATTCCAGAGAAACAGAATTATAGAAGTACTGTTAGGTAATAATAGCTGAACGCCAATTGTAGCCATGTTCAATCAAGGATATCATGGCGGTTGTCTGTCGTTTATGCTACGTGTGCTTTCAGTGTTACACAGGTGTACAGAATGTTATAACTGTACTGTACTGTACGTCCGTCAACAAGCCATCACCAGCTCCCTGAACTCACCACCTGGAAGTATTGCCTGAGGATGACCAGCGACCCCACAACAACACAAGCCAAGACCGCCACCAGCACCGATCTCCCCTTCATCGCACCCATTATGTCTTTACTCTGAAAAAAACGTTACACAGATTATTCTCAATAATGCCCGAGCGAGTTGTCAGTAAAATTCAGGAGAGCAACAACTGAGGCAGGCTGTCGACTTGTAACCACATTGGTGACCTCCACCTTGGTGACCTCCAGTCGGACGGGCATGTTTCTGACAAACCAGGGACCCTTAGACTGACGTAGGTTAAGAGACACGCTGTGCCCGGTGCGTTGTAGATCAGATGTCAGAAGCTTGGGATCCCAGCAAGTTACTACCTTCTTCCACTGCCAATGTTTCTGTGATAATGGAATATACGTTCTCCGGGGAGATGCCGACTGGGCTGCAGAGGTGATGCTCAGGCATCCACACGTCTCGCATCACCGAAAATGGATTCTCTGGATATTTACAAAGTTATAACATTCCCCATACAAACACAAACAACAAACATTTTACAATAACCATTGGTCAATTCATTTCATATGCATGCATCGATACTGATCGTTTTGCTATCGATTAATACGTAAAGACTGTTGAGGTTATATCGTTGGGGTTATATCGTTGGGGTCATATTGCTTGGTCATACATTCATAATTTTCATTTTTTATATCGTGACTATATTTTCGATCCTATGTGTTTCAATGGGTCGAGTGAGTGAGTGAGGTAATGCTTTACGTCACATCGGCAATATTTCAGCCATATCGTGACGATTCAATGGGTCGAACGGATATCGCAAGAATACGAAACGTAAACAGTTGCTGTTACATTTGTTTGTTTGTTTGTTTGTTGTTTAACGCCGAACCCTATTCCAGCTATATGACGGAGGTCTGTAAATAATCGAGTCTGGACCAGACAATCCAGCGATTGACATCATGGGCATCGATCTACGTTACAGGTGTATGGTAGTATGCATCAAGCAAGTCCGCAAGCAAGTCAGCAAGCAAGTCAGCAAGCAAGTCCGCAAGCATGACCCCTCACTCCCCTCTTGTGACAAACATGGGTTGCACAAGATCAATTCTAACCAGATCTTCATGGGGTCCCTTCTAAGCGATAGATAGGAAACGTTTCTGCCTCGGAAATCCCACATTGAGATGTAGAATAAGAAGGAGAATGCAGTCACAGCGTAGAACATATTCACTTGTCTGAATCAATAGAACATTAATTATACCAACCTCAACCACAGCGTGTGAAAAGTGGACTTTTATTTATAATCCCACTGCCAACCCCTTTGTGAGTGAGTGAGTGAGTATGGTTTTACGCCGCTTTTAGCAATATTCCCGTAATATCACAGCGGGGCACACCAGAGATGGACTCCACACATTGTACCCATGTCGGGAATCGAACCCGGATATTCGGCATGAGGATAGAACGCTTTAACCACTAGGCTACCCCACCACCCCACCACCCCGCCACACCGCCACCCCTCCATCCCACCACTCCACCACCCCACCACTCCACCACCCCACCACCCTGCCACCCCACCACCCCACCACTCCACCACCCCGCCACACCGCCACCCCACCACACCGCCACCCCACCACCCCACCACTCCACCACCCCACCACCCTGCCACCCCACCACCCCACCACCACACCACTCCACCACCCCGCCACACCGCCACCCCACCACACCGCCACCCCACCACCCCACCACTCCACCACCCCACCACCCCACCACTCCAACACCCCACCACCCCACCACCCTGCCACTCCCGTAGAAGTTGTTGGGTGGAACAGAGAGCTGTAGATCAAGTATAGATAAATAAGTTAACATATAAAGTAAATTGTTTCTCACCTTGAAAAACAAGGTTGTTTAGTTGTTGGCTTTACATCGGTGGGGGCACAATGAAGGAGCTGCCACCAACACCGACTATACAACCCCTACACTCATTAGGTTACATAACTGAAGATTACGACCTCCGAATCTTTCCCAACATCCTAGGTGTTGTGTGTCGGCTGTAACTGTGGGTGATTGTGTCGTTATTTAAGAATTACATTAAGTAGGTTGCTAGACTGGCTAATTAACCATTGTCCAACAGGTTCCCCCCTTCATCGCCAACTATTGATGCTGGGTTTTGTAACAAGGGATGCGGGGGGATTAGGCGGTAGTATCACCAGGCGTTGCTATATCCGATAATACACAGAAAGTGCCCTGTATATATAAAAATAAAAAACACAAAACAATTTTCCATTCAAAAATCTCAAAGTCGATTTTTCGAATCTAACTATATCATGAGCATGTGGTAGAATAGCAGGGTCTTCAGCAACCCAGTCTTGCCGTAAAAGGCGACTATGCTTGTTGTAAGAGGCGACTATGCTTGTTGTAAGAGGCGACTATGCTTGTTGTAAGAGGAGACTATGCTTGTTGTAAGAGGCGACTATGCTTGTTGTAAGAGGCGACTAACGGGACAGGTGGTCAGACTCGCTGTCCTGGATGATGCATGTCAGCGTATACCAATTGCGTAAATCGATGCTCATCATGTCAATCAGTGGATTGGAAAGAATCTCTCTCTCTCTCTCTCTCTCTCTCTCTCTCTCTCTCTCTCTCTCTCTCTCTCTAACAATATAAATGATACAGGGGATTGCAACTGATGATGTAGTTTTGCCTTAGGACCTCCTCTGTGGTCTAGTGGTAGAGCATCCGCCCCGTCATACCAAAAGACGTTAAAGGTGGTTCTTGTTGTGACCCTTTCTGACGCTCGGCATTAAGGGGCTAAAACAAGGACTGGCCGGCTCGGAGTCAGTATACTGTGTCTGACTGGGGTATTCATGTTAAACTGCGGCATGATATATCAGTGTGCTAGCACTATAAATCGGCATCAGTCCGGACTAGTACAAGCAGCCACACACACACACACACACACACACACACACACACACACACACACACACACACGTGCATGCACGTCGTTATATATAAGTGCAATCATCTTGGACGCGACGTTAAACCCCATTTCACCTCCCCTAGTTTTGCCAAAATAATGTTAATACAAATATATAGTTTGATTCAAGTACATTTATACAGTTAAAATGTGTATAGAACCTTTATCTCTATATAAAACATAACATGGTATTAACATTGGATACATACATGTATTTCAGATATGTGATTGTGTAGCTAAACACAATCGCAACAGAAAGTAATTTATGAATTATGATTAAACGGTGATACGGTGACAGCAAACTGTATGGAACACAAGTCGCCGTAATGCAGTGCATGCACTGTCTGGTAGGCCTGCCATTGAAGAATAGATTGATAAGACATATGTTAAAGGACTGTAGAAATCAGCCATTTTCTGTCACATAAATGAGGGTCCTACCAGATACAGGACAACCCGCATTCATCAAGGTTAACTTCAACATCTACACTCCGTGGTAATGAATGGATGCCATTTGTAAACGTATTTACTAAACTGTTATACACAATAATATAATATATATTTATTAACATTTGTGACAAGTTGAGGATTTATACCAGGCCACCACTACTTTGAACCTGCTGGAAATACCATGAAATACGTTAGTCATTAGATCAGCACGAACATGTTTGTATGGTTGTCTGTGATATTTCTAAAGCATTTGACAGAGTTTGACATGAGGGTTTATGTCAGTTTAAACAATATGGTACATTCTGCGTTCGAACCTATGCGTAGAAACATCTAGAATGTGTAGATAGTTTATTGTTGTTTGTTTGGAGAACTAAAACAACAAGTGTGTTGTATTACAGCAGTTCATGGATGTATGATGTGGGATGTAACACTCTACTATTCTCCTCACGTATTGACGTATTGCCGGAACATTATGTAAGATATATTATCATTTCATGTATATTTTGTATACATAATATTTTTTTAAACTATCACAAGAGATGATATACCTTATGCAGAAAGAACTTATGGAATCACCATGCAAGCCGCAAAATCGGGTAACAAAATCAATATAAAACGATTACATGACTAATTAAGTGTTGTATTGAGGTAAATAATAATTCATAATTAGATATTTATAATATATTGCTTTATGCACTGTAATGCAATATAATTAATGTTACCCTTAATGTTCAACTTTAACACAAGGATGTGACGTCATAAACTCGCAGTTGAGAACGTTGCTTGCCATCTAGGTAAGTGTCAGCATTGAAGTGGACTTCGTTGTCACAGTGAAAGTTTGTAAGAAGTCACGGAGCCACACAACTGAACGTTTACTCACATTGACACCTTGGGTTGGTTTACAAGTACTTGAAGAAATCTGGTTATGTTTGACCTTTCCCCCGTCTGAGTTCATTTATCGCATCTTCCGAATACACACGCTTAAAAGCTAAGTTGTTTATTTTCAAAAAATTTGAATAAAAATAATTAAGATTATGTAAGATTATGCATAATAACAAAATCGATTGACACTAATACGTTGCCAACTAACAACACACACAGTCTGCCATATTACATGTCTCTTATTCCTCGGCGTGCAGTGTACCGGAACCGATGCCATGGAACAGGTAACACCAGGCTCACGACGCATGACACATCTTCCGCCGATATACCTGTACATGACATCCCTATACCATTAGTAGTCCGTATATTGTGGCTAGAACGTCGGTATGTAAGTGCTATAGTCTAGGACGCGACGTTAAGCACTGTTTCGACTGACCTCACATCGCTTAAATTAACAAATCCACTGTCAACAATGGCATTCACCGAAATGCAAACAGGAGAGCTCTTTGTTCTTACGGCTATTGGATACACACCGTCTGCATCTATTTAGAAACTGTAAGCTACCCGAACACATACAGGTACACTATTATATATAGCAGGCAAGGTGGTGTGTTAAGACGAGGGTAAGAAACAGACCGACCTACCCGTTCACTGCACACTTGAGTCTGTGACACACACAGGAACAGCCGCTGCTACAGAGCGGGCGGTAACACCTTTATACGAAACCGGTTCGGCACAGAGAAATCAATGGTTATAAATAGACAGGTCGGTGGGGACATTTGCTCCGCGTGTCGTGTTTAAAGGGAGGTAAGACATAGTGCCCCTTCAGAGAATGCAGGTGAACAAACGGGTGATAAACTTGATCAATAAAAATGTGAGCTTCAGATAAAGTATCACTGTAAATGATGATTTATCACTTAAATTGTATTTTCTGTTCTTAAGATATAGAAATAAAGATTACCGTGTGTATTCTCCCGTAAACTAAGCCAGGAATAGCACTCAGCTGTACACACGTTTTCTACCAATCTACCTGTGATTCGGTTAAAAAATACATAATTTTCATAATTTCAAAGATTTTTTATGCAATGATCGGATAAATAGTATCTGAAAGTATTATTTTATCAGATATAAAAAAAATATTTCAGTTGCAAACTAATAATAACCAAAAGAACAACTGATTGCTATTGCCGGATATATGTTTTACGAACGGAGCAATTTGTTCAGTCACCGTTGAGGCCTCCCGCGTTTTAGCTAAAGCAATTGAATGAAAACAAAAGCAACTATCGTAATTACAACCGACAAACGTTCTATGTTATCAGGCAGTTTGAGGAATCTATCTGAAGCTTAACACAACTTAACTTTCCACCGAACAGCAATCACGTATCATTTGACTTGACAAAATATCTTGTTCCCTCAGCAATCCATAAATCAGTGATCAGATAAATGTTCCATGTATTTTGGAAATTCTTAAATCCATATCCCAATGGTTCTCCATTTGATTACGGAAATTCCCCCAAAGTTTGGATGCCATACTATTCTAAAATCACACAAAAACGTGCTAAAGAATAAAAGAATTGAGAATGTGTATTTGACATTCAGTCAGTCCTACTACACAGACTTTTGACATGGGTCGGACGTAATGTAGTAACTATTCCATGCTAAAAATAAATAATGAAATGATATATATGTTCTTGAATTACTGTTTGTATGTTTGTATGTTTGTATGGGTGGGTAATAAAACTAATTAAACACCAGATTTGCCGACGTCGGGGAGAATTTGAAATGATTAGGCCAACAAGAAAACCTTCAGTGAAGCCATCAGCCTTGTAATCGACGATGTGGATTTAAGGACCCAAATAAAATCTTATTTCTTAAAATTGCATTACAGGTTTTTTATTTACCTACTAAGATAATGGTTTGATGTTAATATTCTTATTTATGTAATTTCAATACATTCTGGACAGTTATTAAGGGGAATAAAATAAATACATCGGGTAAGACATATCACGATATTGCCAAAACGGCACGAAAACGTCTCATAAATCACATAAAAATAATTCATTAATAAGTTGATACCGAGTTAATAAAAGTCGCATGTGCACACGGCATTGTTGGCGTTATTCCAATCTTATTCTGACACTAGAAATTACGTCATAGCTGAAGACGATTTTTGACGTCATTCGACGATTGTGGTTTTCTACGACGACGGTCAACAAACAAACAACAAACAAACAAATAAACCAACAAATCGTAATCTTTTAGATTAATTTAAGAATAATTTCATACTTCGAAGTTTACACTGCTTCTTTCATGCTGATTGGCGGAAGGGGTAACACGTGATCTGATATTTGGAGTTCACACACCTATGAACGGACAAATTAAAAAAAGTTCACATGATGTGAACAATTTTTTGTGAAATTGATCGTGTGAACTTTTGCCGGAACTACTTTCTGGGGTTTCCCCGAACTCTCGATCGGTGTTTACAATCAACTCGTTTTTCTATTTTATTTTTCCTTTTTAATACCTGCATTTGTCGGCATCAAAATTAATTATAGTATTTTGCTTGGTCTTGTAACATTTTATCTGACTTCAAAATAAATAAATGCTTTGGTTCTGGTGTTTGTTGTTGTCTACTATCGGTGATTTTGATATGGAATGGCTATCTATGAATACTAGTAACGCAAGGGAAGAAAATGAAATCTGCAGAACTACTGAGGAACGAAATCGATTTATTGAGTGATATTGACTTTGATGCATTGTTTTCTGAAATGACAGGAATCTAGCATCAAGACAATGTTGTCGCCCCCTCAGATGTGGCCGCCGACACAGAGATCAAAGCGACTGCTAGTGATCAACCCCAACCCCAAACCTGATTTACTATTGTTTCGGAAGAAAACCTCCAAGATTTAGAAAAACAGAGGCACGGCAAAACCAACAATGAAAAACACCAAATGGGCTTTGAAAATGTTCCATGGTAAGCCAAATAAAATAATTATTATTAATTAAATCTAATCTAGCGTTAAATAAATAAAACATTAAAAAGTAAGGAATAAAACTTAAATTTACTATAAATACTGAAAAAAACTTGCCTACCTGTTTTACAGATTGGTCATCGGAGACGAGAAAAATATCAGTAGACTGGATTACTATTCCGGTTTGTGAGTTGGCCGAACTTCTCCGTGCATTCTACGCCGAGACGCGGCGGCACATGAGGAAGGATGGCAAGGGTCCTGTTCCGATGAGTACCATAGAAACACGATGAAAAATATGAGAGCTGCCCTCAACAGAAATATCCGTCTGTTGGGTCGCCACATGGACATAGTAAAGGACAAAGAATTCCAACGTGCCAATGACCTTCTCAATGGAAAATTAAAATCCAATGTCCGTAACGGTCAATCTATGCCAACACAACTTAAGCCAATTGTTGACAATGGCGATATGACAAAAATTCAAGATTATCTGTCACACGAGAGTCTGTATAAAGCTTGGTTCGATATCCTGTTCATTTTGTTTCACGTGGCCTAGAATTTCACTCTCAGCTGAGACCTGGTTCTTTTGAATTTCATTTTTAATGACGAGGGTCGCGAATATGCCGCAATTTCACACGACACAATCCAAAAACCCACCCAGGGTTGGATGACCCGGAAAACAACACTACCGACAAACGCATGTATGCTTCTGGTACGTCACAGTGTCTCGTCGCGACCTTGAAACTTCTCGTGTAAAAATTGCCCCCAAATGCAGAAAAGTTGTTCCATTCCCAAATCAAGTGCCATGGTTAATGACCCTGTGTGGTACTCGAGTAAGCCCATGTCGGAACGTCAACTTGGTTTGATCATTTGCACAATTTCCAAGGAAGCAGGTCTCAGCCGGGTGTATACCCCTCACTGCATTCGTGCAACTGCCATTCAAGCACTAGCCGATGCAAATGTTGAATTGCGTCACATCATGTACTTGTCAGGGCACAGAAATGAAGCTAGCATCAGATCACACAGTAGATCCATCACAGGTGACAAGAAACACCAGCTGAGCAAGGTATTACAGGCGATCACACACGACAAATCCCAAACACCAAACACAGTTGAAACACAAAACAGACAAGTTTCAGAGCACTCCGTTGAATCCCCACCAGTCCAATCCACCGCATCCGAATTTGTTTGTGATTATCCAAACACAAGCAACACCTTCACGAATCAGTCATATTCCCAATTTCCTGGTGCCATGGGAGGGTTCATGCCTCGGGGTGTTTTCCATAACTGTTCCATTAACTTCACATTAAACAGCAGTAAGTACATTCCGTCCTCGTGCTCTCGTTGGAATTGAAATACACCTCTTCACAAACTTATATGACGTCATGTATAAATACGCCCTTCAAGGTTGACCTCGCCTCAGTGCATCGGGTCATGTTTATATTTATATTTACTTAACTTTCGTGTTTAGCACAGTTTAACCAGCGCTTTTAAATCCTTCACACTTCAATGAACCCATCCAAACTGACGTTCAATACTTAAAAAGACAAACACCTTTTAAAATGTATGAATGTACGTTTTCTTTGAGTTTCGACAAATGAAGGTTTTTATCGCATAATAATACATGTCTAATATTTACAAAAAGAAATAACGGGAATGGTGTCGGGAAAAACCTGCAACTTCATACCAAATTTTATTGTACATGTATCTTGTTCACAAACAGACGCATGAAAGGATTTTCTTCTGTACTGAAATTAACATTGGTTGCAAGGAAAAATACCCCGTGATGCGAGGGGCTTCAAAATGCAACTAAACAATTGGGTTTACTTGTTTTAACAAGTGACAAGTCTTTCAATAAAGGTAATCGCTAATGTGAACGCGAACTGCACCATTGCGTTGTGTATGTCTAACGAGTGCTTCCATGTCGACAGTGTAATGTTCACATGCCCCGCACTTGTCCAAGTCCGCCACCTTTGGCTAGTCTCGGCTTGTCTGTCAGAAAGACCCTGAAACAAATATAATGTCTGGCAAGTCTAGATTACTGCAGTATGAAAATGAAAAAAGTCTCTGGACTCCTTTTTATTATTTTTATAACTTTAATTTAACAACTATTTTTTTCTGTAAAATATTTCATTTCAGAGACCAGATGTTAGTCTATCCCTCGGCGTGCCTCCTCCTCAGTGTGCCTCCTCCTCAGTGTGCCTCCTCCTCCTCAGTGTGCCTCCTCCTCCTCCTCAGTGTGCCTCCTCCTCCTCAGTGTGACTCCTCCTCCTCAGTGTGCCTCCTCCTCCTCAGTGTGCCTCCTCCTCCTCCTCAGTGTGCCTCCTCCTCAGTGTGCCTCCTCCTCAGTGTGCCTCCTCCTCCTCCTCAGTGTGCCTCCTCCTCCTCAGTGTGCCTCCTCCTCCTCAGTGTGCCTCCTCCTCCTCAGTGTGCCTCCTCCTCCTCCTCAGTGTGCCTCCTCCTCCTCAGTGTGCCTCCTCCTCCTCAGTGTGCCTCCTCCTCCTCCTCAGTGTGCCTCCTCCTCCTCAGTGTGCCTCCTCCTCCTCCTCAGTGTGCCTCCTCCTCCTCCTCAGTGTGCCTCCTCCTCCTCCTCAGTGTGCCTCCTCCTCCTCAGTGTGCCTCCTCCTCAGTGTGCCTCCTCCTCCTCCTCAGTGTGCCTCCTCCTCCTCCTCAGTGTGCCTCCTCCTCCTCCTCAGTGTGCCTCCTCCTCCTCAGTGTGCCTCCTCCTCCTCAGTGTGCCTCCTCCTCCTCAGTGTGCCTCCTCCTCC